CGGGAGGTCTAAGCTAGACTGAGGCATCCGCGGAGAACAGTGACAGGGCCAGAAAGATCCACCGAGGTTCCCATCCTAGGTCGGAGTGGGTGGGGGACAGATGGGAGTCTGATGGGAGATACTGGGGGAGGGGAAGAAATGAGGGTGTCCTTCTGTTTCCTCCTAAGTCCCCCCGAAGCCCTGTCCTGAGGTTAGGGCAGAGTTGGTGCTAGGACAAAATGTCTGTCACTTGGCAGAAAATGGGGCTCATTCCTCCCTTCCGAGCCCCCTCAGCAGCCCGCTATGTTTGGAGGGTCTCCACGCAGGGACCAGCTACATCTCTGGGCTTCCAGCCAGAATTTGCCCATACCATTCTCAACTCTTTCTCTCCAGCTGCTTCTTGTGAAGGCTTGTCAGGGAGCGGGTTGGAGGCCTTGGGGCCGGAGGCAGCGGGACCGGGAAAACCGGTTTGGGGCTACCACAGGATCGGGGAACTACCTATGTACATCCTTCCTCTCGGCTCTTTTTCCCCACCTCTCTCCTGCTTGCCCCTCTACGCTCTTGGGTCCTGAAGGCCCACCGTGACCATGGCAGTGGTTGATGGATTATCACTCCAAGTTCTAGATTTCTTGTGGAACTGAGAGGGCCCACTGTCAGGATGGGGCCTTCTGCTGTCTAATTCTCCAATCCCTTCTGTTTCCCACCTCCTTCCTTTTTACTGTGGGGATGAAGCAGTGGGCAGTGAATTCACCGTCAGGCCTCATTTGTCCTCAGCCCACTCGTTGGCTGCTTTAAAGCAGAATGACAGCCAATGTTTGGGACTTCCTTCTCTGGCTTTGTTCCTCTCCCTGCCCGCCCCCCACCCGGCACTACCACATTGACCCTGGCCGGTCTTAACACTCTGACGCCGCCCCCAAGTTTCAGAGACCCTAATGTCCTAGGGAATGGAATTTCCTGGTCACTTCTCATCATCACTGGTTGTTTCATGCCAAGTCCCACACACACTTTCCCTCCACCCAGCTTGGTCAGGTCCCTGGAAGAGAAACAGAAACGTCCTTGTTCCCTCCAGGCCCCTTTTCCTTTCCCTCTCCCTCCTCCTCTTCTCCACTCTCAGCACTGGCCACCTCTGTCCCCTCAACCCTGGGCAGGGTGGAGAATGCCTGGTAGAGCCCAGCTTCAGTATGGACTGTCTGGTGGTGTTGGGGGGTTTCCTCTGATTCTTTATTGTTTTCTCCCAACCCTCACCACCTGCCACCATCATGACAAGCCTTGTGACCAACTTTCCCACTGACCAAGCCTCCGCTTTCTGGACAGCTAAGTCTGACTTCAGTCCTGGTTACTCCTTCCTTGTATGGCTGTGAAGGGAAGTGAAAGAGAGCCCAGACTCTTGGGTTCTTTCCTACCCTAGAAGCTGTATTCCACTGTTTGAGTGATCTCATCTCAAGGCTGCTAGAAAACAAAGAAAAACATTCAAGAGACAAACAAAACTCTTTTTTTGTTTTGTTTTGTTTTGTTTTTGGTCTGTCTGGGCTACTGGAGCACCCGGCTTCCAGCCTCAAGCCCAGAGGGAGAGGCTTATTCCTGTTCATGCTAATGTTTAATATTCATGAATTGCCCTATTGGACTCCCTGAGCTGGACTGTACTCTAGAAGGAAGTACAGTTTGTATAGAGGAAATTCAGATAGGACATAAACCCTGCCTGGCAGGAGTGAAAAGGGGAGAAAGTTCTTCTTGGACACAAGTGCTACTGGAAAGTTTCTGTGCCTGGTTCACTGGCGGAGCTTGGAAGTGGTGGGGAGAAAGGAGAGAGCAGGTCAGAGCATGAGGGAGGAGGATGGGAGGCCTGAGCCTTATATCGTGTGAGACGCCCAGTTGCACACGATAGGGCATGTGAAGAAGGGTGGGGAGGCTGGAAAATGAGTCCTCAGAACAGACTACACACTACCTGTACAAGACATGGAGCTCGGGCCACACACACACGGTCCACATAGCTTTCAAGAAAGACAAGGTCAGGTATTAACTCTAAATGGACCCTGGGAGGCCGCTGGACCTCAGCCGGGGGAAGTGAGGAGGAACAAAGGTAATGGAGTGAGAAGAAAGAAATTCCTCACTTCACAAGTGTGTGCTGGGTCCACAGTTCTACAGTTAATCTCCTCGGAGCTAGGTTGTATGTAAAGAAAATTTAGGTGTTGAGGCAAGGTGAGACAAAAGGAAGGGGACAGGGCGGAGGCCTTGTTTGTGAGAACAAAAACCACTATTTCCTCTTCAGAGTCACTTACTCACCCCTCCCCTCCTGCCCTAGCCAAGGGAGAGGGAGCTGACGTTGGCAGCACCCCTGTGTTCTTTTTTTTGTCACTATTAGGCTTTCTCTCACTGTCTCTGACGTCCTTTTAGTCCCATTCTTCCTTGGTCCTTAACCTACTGATGGTCTTTTTGCACTCTTCTTTCTTTGAGAAGCAACTGTGAGCCTCCTATGTTTGAAGGGGTTCAGTATGGGGTACAGAAAAGTAGAGCCTCTAAGAGAATAGGAAGATGGGGGCTTATTAGGTTTCTGAGGAGCGGGCAGGGATGTTTCTCACTAATATTTTTTCCTTTCAGCTAAAATTCAGGATTCCACATCTAAAGAAGACAGAACCCTGTACCTGCCTGCCTACCCAAGTCTCTTGCTGGTGCTGTTAGTGGCTCTGGGTCTAAGACTCCAACCTTCAGTGCTCGACTACCAGTCTCTAGGACTTCTGCCTTTTCTAGACCCATCCAGTTGAGTGAGCCCCGGGTGTTGTTGCACCTGAGAGTGAGGACTGGGTGGTTAGCAACAAAGCAAGAGCCCTCTGGGGCCTTTGGCAGAGGCCCGAAACTGGAACCATCAGGGAATATGAGTGAATTTTGGCACAAACTGGGCTGCTGTGTGGTCGAGAAGCCCCAGCCGGTAAGTCTCCTTGTCCCACTCCCCTTGTCCCACTCCCCTTGTCCCACTCCCCTTGTCCCACTCCCCTTGTCCCACTCCCCTTGTCCCTACCCGACACACAGACATTGGTTACCATGTGCTGTGACGTGGACACAATGTCTCTGATCTGCTTTCTGGAAAACACTTTTCTCACCTCCCTCTTGAGGGTTTCTGTGGCCAGGCAGGGATGTTCACGAGCAATAAAGGAGACTATGACAAAAGAGGCAAGGAGTTACAGCTGTCACCTGCTCCTGTTCTGAGGTGGGCAGGGACTACAGTAGGTGGAACGTGAGGCCGGTCAGCGTTCCCCGTCACCCAGAGGTGACCTTGCTTTGTCCTTTGCAGTGCTCACTCAGCAGGCCACTGTCCTACCACTCCGGTGTCTCTGCTTTATCTTAGTCCAGCTTTGTTTGCCCATTAGACCGCCAAATCAACCCTTAGCCCTTAGTAGCTTCTCACGACCCCTTCTCCTTCCTCCACTTTGATGAGAGGAGATGGCTGCATACATGACCCCCTTTCTTCTCCAAGCAGAAGAAGAAGAGGAGACGGATTGACCGCACCATGATTGGGGAACCAATGAATTTTGTCCACCTGACTCACATCGGTTCTGGGGAGATGGGGGCTGGAGATGGACTTGCCATGGTAAGAGAGAAGGGGATGTTTATCTGGAGGTATTTTCCCACAAGGGACATAACAGAATAGTTAATGGGGAAACAAGAATCTGAGTGTGCATTTCTGATCTCTAGGGACAGCTCCCTTCTTTACAGTTAGCATACTAGTCTTCATGGGTCTGAGGGATACATTTGTTGTAATTGTTACAGATCTTTCTAAAACCATGGCTCTCCCTCCTTATTAAGAACTAGTTAGTGCCAGGTCAGAGCTCAGCTGGCAGAATGCTTACCTAGCATGCAGAAGCCCTAGTTTTGGTCTCCACTGCTGCCTAAGTGGGCTGTGGTGATTCACACCTGTACTCTCAGGAACTGGGGAGCAGAGGCTCAAGGTCATTCTCAGCTGCATAGGAGGCCTGAGGCCAGCTCGGCCTGGAGACCCTACCTCAAAACAGCAAAGAGGAAAAAGAAAACCTGTTGAATCAGTGTCCCAGTGAGTCATTGTGATTGGGAGTGTGGGACCATGGAAGGCTCTGTTCTGAATGTCTGTGGTGTAGTTCTGCTCTTAGTAAGGGAAATAGATCTGGTCATTGTTTTTAATACCAGTTATAAAACTCAGAAATATATGGGTTTTTATTTTTTTCTTGTTAATGTGTGTGAGGGGATCTCATTGTAAATGACTCATTTTTACCTTGTCCTCAATGGACTTCCTTAAGAGGAAGAGTGGGCAGGTTTAATCTGTTCAGATGAATGTCCCTGTCAGAGAAGAGAGTTGAGGTCCAGCTTCTCCTGGGGGCACAGGGTAAATTGTTGCATCTTGCGGAATGTGGGGAGTTAGGCAGTTGTGTGACCTGTGCTTTCCAACAGACAGGTGCAGTTCAGGAGCAGATGAGATCCAAGGGAAACCGAGACAGACCGTGGAGCAGTTCGAGGGCCTTGTAGTTCCCATAGGACTGGTAAGTGACCAGAGAACCCATTTGACACTCTACCTGTGCCAGCATATCCTGACAGTCTGCGTGGAGCTTTAATTTTTTGATGCAAGAATGAGAAGTGAATTGGTGGAAAAACAGAAGTAAAATGAAAATTCAAGAACCCAGGTTAAAAAAAAAATGTCGGGTTTTACAGGAAGGTTGGGGCCTGGGTGTGTAATCCTGGCACACTGGAGGTAGAGGCAGGAGAAGCAAGGGTTCAAGCTTCTCTTAAACAACACAGTGAATGCAAGGTCCCATAGGCTACCTGGGACCTGTTTCGAAAAGCATAGAATTTGCGGAAAGAGGGCCCAATGGAAAGTTTAAAATGTGCACTGTAGGCCAGGCATGGTGGCACAGACCTTTAACCAGCACTCAGGAGGCAGAGGCAGGCGGGTCTCTGCAAATTTGAGGTTTGGACTGCACAGTAAGATCCTGTCTCCCTTGTACTCCCCACAAATATGTGTGCTATGTAGTGCCTTCTCCCTCAGACTTTTTTTTTTTTTTTTTTTTTTAATAGGCAGCTGAAGTGTCTCAAATTCACTTCTTTTCCAGGCTGACTTTAAATTCAGCATCCTCCTTCCAGAAACTTCTAAGAGCTGGTTCTACAGATGTGTACTATTGTGCCTGTCTCCAAAGCTTCCTTTTTTAAAAAATTGTTTGGCCAGACACTGTGGTTCATGCCTGTCATCTAGCACTTTGGAAACTGAGGCAGTAAGATTGCTACTTGTTTGAGAGCAAGCAGCCTGGGCTACAGTGACACCGAGGCTTTATTTATTTGTTTGTTTGTTTTGAAATTCAGGTTCTGCAGTCTTGGAGTTCCTATTCCGTGTCCAGCCCAGAAGAAATGCCACCATCACCAGATTCCTTCTTCAACCAGTGACCCAAGGACCCCTCTCTCCGACAAGTGCCTCAAAAAGGCGTGGGGGGCTGGACTCCCTCTACTCCCTCTGGCCTCTACCCCTCCTGGAGATGGGGTCAAGGCAGCAGGACTGACCATGTGACTACTGTAGGCCAGCTGAAGCCCTGGACACCCTCAATCTGAGCTGGGGGTTCTCTGGGAACCTGGAATGTGTTCCCTGCTCCTGAATGAAGGTTGGGTGCCACCTGTTTCAAACTTTGCCTTTGTTCTTTAATTGAGGCAGGCAGGTGCGGGAAACAGCTGAACCTGGCTTTGCTGTGGCTCTCCCTGCTTTCCTGCCCTTTCTTTCCTTCTGGAATGAGATTGAGGGGCTGGGCGACCGATGCCCACACCACTCCGAATTTCAGACCTTACGCTCACAGCCCTGCCATGTCTCTCTGCCAGCACCAGGGTCTTGCTCCAGTTAGACCTCCAATCCCATGCTTCTATGGTATTAATAGCTTCCTAGAAATATTCTCTTTTAATTAATTAAATTTTTAATTTGAGTTTTTTAATTACCCCCATCCTTCTGCTATCTCTGCCCTTGCCCCGTCCCTGAAAGGAACCTTACTGTTTTTTAATTTGGATCTTAATTTGACCACATTCCATGTAAGACTTGGGGGTCCTGGCCCACCTTCTTGTCAGCCTCCCTGCTGGCCCAGGTGAGAGGAGGAGGAGGGTTCTGGATTAAAAGCCAGGATGTAGCAAAATAAGCTGTATCTCAGGGTGGACTTCCTGCCATGATGGTGAGGTAAACAGATTGAAAGCACAGGTCCTAAGATCCTTTATGGAAGTGTAAGCGTTCAACTCCAACACTTGAAAGCAGGACAGTTTGTGCTGCAGAATTCTTTGTAATGTAGGGCTGTTCTGTGTAAACTCCAATATCTCTGCGCCCCGCCCAGCTCAGAATGTGCCAACCAAAATGTCTCCAGAAATTGCCAGATGTCTCCTAGGGATGAAATTACCCACAGTTGAGAGCCACAGTTTGAGAGTCAAGGTATGTTTTTTTCCTCAGTGATTTCCACATCCCCCTCCCCAACCCAGTCTGGTGATTCATCCTGAGCCAAGGGTGAGCAAGCACCCTCATAGGGCAGGCTCAGCAGAGCTGCACATCTTTATTTCAAATGTGTTGCTTGTGCTTGCATGGGCTCAAGTCTCTGTGACAGCCGTGGACGATACTTCTCTGTTCCTGATCTCTGCAAGAGATCCTCAGTGCAGAGACAGAAACCACACCAGAGAAAGGGGATCAGAAGCTGCAGAGACTAGTTATGCTGTCCGTGCACTATGAGCTCCTTTCTGCTCTAGTCTTGGCACCCAGCGTAAGACTCAGGGACTTCGGTTGGAAGATCAGGTGTCAGCACTGGCCAAAGAGTCTGCTTTAGACGGGAAAGCATAGTAGGAGCAGAGTCTTTAGGCCCTTTGTTTTCTCAGGTGTTTTTGTTCTGGCCCTTTCTTTGCAGGCTGATTAGAAAGGCAGAACAAGACAGACGAGCTCCTGCCTGTTCCTAGAAGAGAGGGCTGGGGTCTCATTAGCTCTGTAATAGGAAGCTTGTTTTGTGGTAATGGGTCAGGGCTGTGGAAACTGATCCACTCCTGCTGACTCTGTCTGTCCTGTTACCCCTCACCTACTGACTGAGGTTTTCATTTGTCCAAAGCTCAGTGTGCTCCCTGTAGTTTTTCAGGCTCTAAGATTGGTCACAGATGTCCATTCCGAGTTTGCTTGCAGTTCCAGTCAGGCCTGCCTCCCTGAAGGAACTTTACCTTGTTGCCTGAGAGCAGCTCATAGCTGGGGGTTCAGTGAACAGTTACAGGCATGGTGGACATGTGCCCCCCGGGAGCATGCTCCCAGGAAGGCCATAAATGTCAAGTCACAATGGCAAAAGGTTGGACACTGTGTGGGGTTAACAGGAGAGGTGTGGGTGACTCCTGAGCTCCAGTGTCATGCTAGTTAGTTTCTCTGGGCACAATTCTTCTCTGATATTCTCCTGCTACCTTCTCTAGTGTGTGTGCCACCACCACGTAACAAGGTGATTGGAATGGGTTTGAGAGTCGTAATTTATATTAAAAGGATGATGGACTTTTAAGATACGTTTTTTTTTTTCCAATAAAAGAATTAAGCAAAATAGTTGCAGAGTAATCAATACATGTGTTAGATCAAAAGGTGGGCGTGGCTGAGGAGACCTTCGAAAGTGGCAGAGATGGAATTCTGTACCAACACAGCCTTTCCTGAAGAGAGGGCAGAGTACTAGGTCAGTAAGGAAAGGCCACCGTAGTCTCTCAGGCGGAATCCTTGTTCTTGCTCGTCCCTCTCCTTCGTGCCTCAAACTACTTATTTTGACCAGATGTGCTCTGTCGTCCCCTTAATCCCAGCACTGGAGAGGCTGGTGGGTCTCTTGAGTTTGAGGCCAGTCTGTTCTACACAGCAAGTTCTAGTCTATCTAGGGCTAGGTAGTAAGGCCGGCCCCAAAAAACCAAATTGGTTTTTGGGTTGGGTTGGTTTTCTGAGACAGGATGTCTCTGTGTAGCTCTGGCTGGCTGAGAACTAGTTCTTAGAACAAGGCTGGCCTTGAACTAAAAAGTACCGGAATTAAAGGTGTGCGTCACCGCTGCCCAGCCATGTTTTGGTTTTGGATTTTGAGACAGGGTTTCTCTCTGTAGCCTTGGCTGTCCTGAACAAGATTTGTAGACCAGCCTGGCCTCGAGCTCACAGGGGTCCGCCTGCCTCTGCCTCCCAGAGTGCTGGGATTACAGGCGTGGGCCACTGCACCCGGCTATATGTTTTGCTTTAAAACAGTACTAGAAATGAGCAGTGTGAACATTTTATCTAGGAAGACGGAGTAGAGGAGCAAGCTAGAGGCTGCTGCCTCTGAAGTCCCTGAGCCCTCTGTAAAGACACAAACCAGTGCTGCGGATGGAGCCTTGGGCTCCACCAAAAAGAAAAACGAGACCAAAGTATGCATTTTGTAGGTTTTTTTTTTTCTCTCTCTGTATTAAAAATATATAGTGGGTGCTGGGGTTGAAAAGGTAGGTTACGGCATAGACATCATCTCTTAGGGTGAAGTGGCCATTACCTCTGGGTTCTTTCTATCTGGGGAAGGCAAGAAAATAAAAGGAGAGATTATAATCCTTCTACATTCCATTCCTTGCTTTACCCTGCTGCAAACCATTTCCTCAACCCTACTGGTTTGGATTAGTGTCTGTGTGTGTGTGTGTGTGTGTGTGTGCGCGCGTGCACGCGCGCGGCAGCTACGTGTGCACACACGTATGTCCTTGCATGTTCTTGAGTGTGCCAGGAGTCGACATCTGTTGTCTCCTTGATCACTCTGCTTACTGAAATGAGGCCTCACTGAGCTGGTCACACGTGCATGACTTCTGGAGGTGCCTGGGGATCGAACTTTTCTCGTGGTTACAGGGCAAGCTTTTTATCCATTGGGCCCTCTCCCCACCTCTGCTTTTCCTCTTTATGTTTCTTCATTTATTTTGTTTAGTGTTTTAAAACAGGGTCTCATGTAGCCTAGGTTGCCCTTGAACTGTGTAGCGGAGAATGACCAAAATATTTTTGGGTTGTTGTTGCTAAGGTTTATTCTGAGCTGATCAGACTTGGTAACACATGGCTTTAATCCTAGCACTTGGGGCTTGAGACCAGCCTGGTCTACTTTCTGAGTTCCAGCCCAGCCAAAGCCACATACACCCTCTCTCTCTCAAAAAAAAAAAAGATTTTGTGGGAATGGGGCCCATACAGTAGACCCAGAGGCCAGCTCCCCACCCCCCTTTTGAGACAGGGTTTCTCTGTTGTAGCCTTGTCTGTCTTAGACTTACTTTGTAGACCAGGCTGCCCTGAAATTCTCAGAGATCTGCCTGCTCCTGCCTCCTGGAATGCTGGGATCACAGAAGTGGGCCACCATGCCCTGCTGCCTGATCCTCTTACTTGCAGAGTCACCCTCCTGACCTGACCTGGAACTTCTGTCTGCATGGGCACTCAAGGGCAGGTGCCCACAGTTCTGGGGTGGGATCCCCCTCAAGTAGGAATTACCCAGGTGGCTGTGAGTGCCTGGTGTGTCTGTCCTTTAGAAGAGCAGTACGTGCTTTGAACCACTGAGCTGTCTTGCCTCCACCTACCAATCCACCACCATGACCAGTTTGTGGTGCTGAGGCTCAACCTGTACCTACGAGGCAAGCACTCTGCTAGCCGAGCTACAGAACTCTCCAGCCCCCAGGTGCTTTATTTTTATATTAAAAATAGAACTGGACTCTCAAGGAGGAAAACAAAAATAGAAACCAGTTAAGTCACCCTTTATTTTCTTCCTCCCACACCCATCACTCATCCCTAGCAAATGAGACCACTTTATCCAGTCAGTCTGAACCTATAGTAAAACTTTGTTTGCTTGCTTGTTAGAGACAGGGTCTCATTATGTAACTCTGGTTGGCCTGGAAGAACTTATATAGACCAGGCTGGCCTTGAACTCGCAGATCAGCCTGTCTTTGCCTCCCAAGTGCTGGGACTAAAGGTGTATACTACCACTCCTGGCTTCTTTGTGAAATTTTAAGTTGCTGGGTAGAGTCCCAAAGGGACAGTCCTTTGGGAACATGGGTACTGGTGGAAACCCTGGTTTCAGTTGTGTGGCCCTGTCCCTGTTTTCTTCCTTCGGTGATGGGGATTGAACTGAGGGCCTTGTGCTTGTGCTAGGGAGGCCACAGAACTGCACCCCAGCCCTACTAGCTTGGAAACCTGTCTCTTCATCCGTAAACAGGAAAACACCCTGTAAGGTGAGGACAGATCCGAGAATGGCCTCAGATGTTGGCTGTCGCTGTTGCCCAGCATTAAGTCACTGTATTAATCAGAGTGGAGAGATGGCTCCTCAGTTAAGAGCACCAGCTGCTCTTCCAAAGGACCTGGGCTCAATTTCCAGCATCCACATGGCAGCTCACAACTATCCGTAACAACAGTTCCAGGAGATCCAACTCTTTTGTGGCTTCCGTGGCCACCAGCTGCACAGACATACGGAAGTTTAAAAAGACAAAAACCCAACCTAACACATTTTTTAAACTTTCTTGATCATTATTTGGTTAATATATTTCGTGTCCATTGTCTATGCATTTAGTCAAGTATGGTAGGAAAATTGTGAACAATCAGACAGGACTACCTATCAAAACTCTCAAAAAGAAACAAAAAGGGAAAGAAGTCTTACTTGGTCAATAATAATGTGATGACCAGTAAGACAGCTAAATAGCCAGGATTTGTTCAGCAAGTGTCAAGGCATGGTGCTGCACGCTGTTACCCTCCTGTAGAAGGAATGGCATCCTTGGCTACACAGTGATCTCAAGGCCGGCCTGAGCTACAGGGGACTCTTTCCTAGCTTGTGTGATGGCTCTAAGCCTGACAGCCTGAGTTTGACCTCTGGAAACCACATGTTGGGATGAAGGAACTAGCTCCCACAAGTTGTCCCGTGACCTCCACAAGCGCATACACAACAAACATGCACACGGATGTAAAAAGAAAACTTGAACCCAGCAGGGGCAGAAGGATCTGATCTGTTTGAGTTCAAGGCCAGCCTGGTCTATGCAGTGAGTTCTAGGACAGCCAGGGCTAAATAAAGAGACTCTGCCTCAAACCAGAAACTGTCTCAAGAAATAGGTAGCTGAGCCTCCCACTGTACGGAAGGTTGAGGTGTCGGAAGAATCGCCTCAGCCCAGGAATTATAGACTAGTCTAGATAACATAGTGAGACTTGATCTCAAAATAAAAAAAAAAAAAAAGTGGGCTAAGCAGGCTGTCAATGCAGTTTAGCAGAACACTGCTTACCACGCTCAGGCCCCAGTGGCGTGTGCATGTGTACCCGATAGGCACCAAACAAAACACAAAAATGGGCCAAGACTGACCAGTGCAGGTTATGACCCAACCGGGTACCTCAGTCACAGCTCATTCAAGTACACTGTGTTAGCGACAGGATTTGGGACATCAGGACTTTTTAGATGATCGAGAGAGGCCCTGGCTCAACAGCAGGACAACTTACTGGTTGCATCTCTGTGAACACTGAAGAAAGGCTGTTCCAGATATCCTCCAGGCCATTCCTGACACTTTTCCAAAAGGCAAGAGCTGGGCTGGGGCTAGTGAGAGGGAGGATGGGTCTGCGTCTCAGGTGGCCGGAAGCCAGAGGAGACGTGGGGCGGCTGGACCGAGAGCTGCAGCCGTCGTCAGGGCAGAGATCTGAGTCCAGAGGGCACTCCTCCCGTTGCTTGTTGCAAGTCCCACATTCCTCGTAGGTGCAAGGCTTGTGCTCTGTGCGGAGTTCGCTCAGCGCTCCAACCCGGAGGTGCCCTGAAAGGCCACGCAGCTTCCCAGCCCGGCTCCTGCTCATGGTGCCTGACTTACAGTGGCAGTGCCATGGGCCCCAGGGCATCAGCATCAGCCGCAGATCCTCAGGAGGTGGCATGGCTGTGGGTGAGGCCTTTGGCCACGGGGTCGGGGTGGACCCAGGTGTCGACCACTGGTGCAGGGTGGACTCGGAATTCAGGTCCAGAGTAGGCTTTGAAGTGAGGGTCGACAGATCGTGGGTTATTCTAATGTCTCGCTCCTGGCTATTGGCTACAAACCTCCCGGTGGTGCTGGAACTTTCCATAGTACTGGAGGTCGAAGAGAAAATTCCAGGATTGGTGGGTTTTTTGGTATCAACCAACGCCCCCTCTTCCAAGGAGCCATCGTTATTGAAATTGGAGTTGGCCAGTGACGACCGGCTAATGCTTGACACAGTGGACAGGAGCTCAGCGGCTGCCGGGCCGGCCAAGCTGTCGGCAATGACCAGGGCATCGTTTTCATCCTCCAGATTTGCCTTCACCTTCCGGGGTATATAAGTCCGGGCGGTGGGGCTTGTGCTCCGGAGGCTGCGGGCTGGGCCCCCGAAGCGTAAGCTGATCCGCTGCATCCCTGTCGGGGTGGCGGTCGGGTTTGACGTCTGGTCTTGGGCCCCCGCCGCCCGGAGCCCCAGACTTAGCAGCAGGGCCCAGAGCAGCATGCAGGCGGCGGGGACCATGGGACTGGGAGGCCCAAGCTCCTACCTCCTCTCCCTCCCTTCCGCGTTCCGACAACCCGCCAGGTCTCGAGGTCGTTTGAACAGACCCGGAGGGAGCTCCGAGGCACGTGCCTCGCCCCTCCCCTAAGTGCTCTTCCGCGCAGGGCCAGCAGCCCAAGGGGCTGAGCTAAAAATCTCAAGGAACCCTGGAAAGCAAGAATTCTGTGCCAGAACCGAAAGGCAGATTGTGATGTAAGGGCTTGGGGGGCGGGGGGCAGACTTGAGCAGACTTAAATCTCTCACCACAGTTTATTAAAGTCCACAGGCCTGAATTTGCTAACGAGGGTGAAAACACAGGTTATGACAACAGTCCCTCCCAGATCACAGGCAGCAGACGACTAAGAAGGGGTTGGCTCTTCAAGATTTTGCAAGCTGGCTCCTGGCCTCCCAGCAGACAGGCTGGCTGTGGCTGTTGGTTAAGCCCTTGACCTTTCATCCACCTCCCCTCCAAGGCTGCTAAGATAGCTAAGATGCGAAGGATCCCAGCGGTTTTGATTACAGAGAAGAAAAATGAGACGCACATTTTATAGCTAAAGGAGAATTAAAACCCAGAGCTCTGACCTTCCAACGCCACACTCAGCCTTCTTTTTGGACAGCCCAAATGCAAGCCACCCCACATACGGGGTTCCCACGCTCAAATCCCAGCTTAAAGGCAGTGTCCAGAAGAGGGTATCACATTGAGAAGTGAGGGTCCAGTGGAACTGGAGCTCTGGTGCGCAGACCGACTGTGATCTTTGCCCAGTTTGGTGTTAGGTACCCTTCGAGCCATGGAGATCCTGGTCCAGCCTACAGAGGGTTGGGAGAGAGAGGCAAGGTGAACTGGAGGAGCTAGAAAACTGAGTGCTTGAGTCATCTCCCATCATCTGTTTGCTAACATATTCCCACTGGATATTCTCTCTTCCCTGCTGGCTTAAGCCCTTGATAATTTGTCAGGCTACACTGATACAGCTCTTCTGTGCTGGGATTGTTCCTCAGTGCCCCCCACCCCACCTCAGTGTCTCTTGCAGAACATTTTTCACTTGTCCTTTAAGCTGTGTCTACATTTTTTTATGAATGGGAACACATGCATGCCATGAATTTATTCCACCGTGTAGGTTCTAGAGCTTGAACTCAAGTCGCCAAGCTTGGGAGTGAGTACTTTTACCCACTGACTCATCTCACTGGCCCCCTTCATGTGCCAAATATAATACTGTCCTTAATTTTCCCATGGAAACAACCAGAAACAGGGCTTGTGTGTCTTAGTTCTCTGTATCTCCCCAGAGACATTAAGAAACAGGATTGGCTTTAGACATTCCATCCCAAACTAGCATCCTTGGGTGCAGGACTTACTGTCTGACCACTTCAGGTATGTGGACTTGATCTAGGCTGATGAGCTGGGCCAGCTCCCCAAGGCTGTCCAGAAACCGGATCTTTCGTGTGAACTTGGAACTGAAGAGAGAGTAAATTATGTTTAATATTGGGAGACTGATCCTGGAGGATCTCATAGAAAGAAATGTAGCAAACAGAATGGCAAGGCTAGAAAGAGGGCAGGATCAGACCGCCTCGGCAGTGAAAATAGAGAAAGGGTATCCTTATGCCTTGAGTTAGTACCTGATGAAGGGCCGAACCAGGGCCAGGAAGGCCTTCACATACCACGTAGCGTGAACGACCACCAGGGCTCGAAGGTTTTTCCGAAGCCTGAGAAAGAACCCAACATGCTCACATGTCCCCTGTCCCACCTCTGCCCTTAGGCACAGGTGGGCAACCTTCTATGCTGCAGGCTCTTTGGTGTCTTTCTCATTTCCAAATTTCTCTGGCAGCTGTGCCAAATCACCATGTCTTAAATTCTTCCCAATTTATTCTGCCCTCTATACTCCATGTTTAGGGACATGTTCCTTTAACAGTACCTCAGTCTTCGCAACTCATTTCCCTCCACCCTACAGGGATTCCTTTTGCAAACTTCTCCATCTCTTCCAACTGTGTAGCCCAGGCTACAAGTGGAGGCCAGGTGTTAGGGAGCCTGTGACCCCAGCAGAGGCAAGAGGCAAACCAGGGCTACACTGAGATTCCAAAGCCAACTGGGGCTACGTGAGCCCCTACATGAAATAAAACACAGCCTTCCCCCAAACAAGAAACAACATAGCTCTTAAGTGAGAAAAAAAAAATCAGCAAGGTGGAAAAATCAGCAAGGAGGAAAAAACGGAAAAGGTGCAGGAAGAAAGATAATTAAGCAAGGGTGAGTTGGGACAGGCCAGGCATGGAGGTAATACCTGTAATGTAAGCACTGGGGGCCGTAGAGAGGCAGGAAGAGCAGGAGTTCAAGGTTATGGTTAGCTACAGAGATCGTGCAAGGCCAGCCTGGACTATATGATGAGGAAACAAAGGAGAAAAAGAGAAACATGAGTGGAGCCAGCACAGTGGCACACGCCTGTAGTCCCAGCAATTGGAAAGGTAGTGGCAGCTTGATCTCTGTGAGTTCAAGACCAGTCTAGTCTACAAAGTGAGTCCAGGACAGCCAAGGCTACACAGAGAAACCCTGACTGGGGAAAAAAACAAAACAAAAAGTACCATGGGTGACTTACATATCAGGAATGAAGGAAGAGAAAACAGTGGAGATGTGGAGAGTGGCAAGACTGGGATAAAGGAGAGTGACCCCATGCATCAGGCAACACGCTGTGTGGATTTACAAGGAGACGGGACAGGAAAGCGAAGGGACCTGTCCAAAATGTAGCTAGTGAGTCATGAGGGCTGGGTGTCCCTGACAGCACAGGCTACAACAGGAGACACTTTTAAAGGGATGTAGAAGGACAAAGGAAAGAAGAACATTGGGCATGGTGCCTCAGGCCAGTGATCCCAGTACTCAAGAGGCTGGGCAAGAAAACCTTGAATTCGAGGACAGCCTGAGCTATAGCAAGCAGTCCTCAGAAAAGAAAAACGAAAATAACAAGAAATACACAAAGTATCAACCAAAAGAAAAAAATAGAAAAATGGAAAAGAGATGGTAGAGAGTTGGGGCCCTCCTGTCCTGGGGTCTCACCTCCTATCCAGGGTACGATAACACTGGCGTATCCAGGCGAGAGGTGGCACTTGGGCCCTGCTTGTGCCTCCATTCAAGTGAACAAGCAGATAATTTTCAGCTACCAGCAGTTCCAACGTCCCCACCATATACCTAGGGGACAACATTGGGAAAGGTATAGGCTGGGTGTTTCAGGAGCGCGGGAACAGGCGTATAGAGAGCATCCTCCAGTCAGCTACTGATTCTGGACAGGAGTCTTTTCCACCTTCCCCTTCAGGTTTCCACCTCACCTGAACAGGTGTTCCATGACATAGGTGTAGTTGGGGATGCTGCTTCGGGGTAGATAGCAGGAAGCAAAGAGGATGACAGCATTAAGGCCATCACCGTGATAACCTGAGGACCAATATGAGAAAAACTGACTCAGCTGCAAATCTGTAAATAGACAGTACTTCTGTTTAAGGGGAGGGATTGTGAGGGTCTTTGGAAGTCACAGGAAGGATGCTAAGCTAAAGCATGTGAGCCAAGCTGTCAGTTATTTTTGGTGATTGTTTTATTTTGTAGATAAGTGTTCTGCCTGTGTGTGTATGTATGTACTGTGGGAACCAGAAGTTGTGAGATCCCCTGGAACTGGAGTTACAGTGCTCTGACCTGCTGAGCCATCTCCCGAGCACAAATGTCACCATAGCTGTGGTTTTCATGTACTATTACTGTGTATGTGCACATATGGGTCTATGTGGGGGTCAGAGGACAACTTCTCTGGAATTGGGTCTCTCCTCACACCTCTCCATGGATTCTGGGATCAAATTCAGGTTGCCTCACATGCATGTCAATCACCTTTACCCACAGTGCCATAGTTTTCATCCTTATATTGTCTTTTTTCTTACCTCCATGAGACAGCACTTTCTTATAGGGCTCAATGATGGTCATGTCCACCCGCTGCTCTCGCTGTCCTGTTCGGAACACTCTCCAGCGATGACCATCTTCTCCAGCCACATCCCATACACAACCCCGGCCCAGCCTTTCTGCTGCCTCACTGGCCCCCAGGCCCTCTGCCCGAGGCAAATCATCTAAAGCACACAGGAGGGAAAAATCAAGAAGGCGGGGTTCTTGTAATTCCCTTGGATCAATAGTTTACTCCAACTGTTTGTACATTTGGGTTTTTGAGAGAAGGTCTCGCTGTGTGGCTCAGACTGGCCTCCAACTCACAACTGTTCTGCCCCAGCCTCTTGAGCGCCAGCGTTACAGGTGTCCACTACACATCTCCGGGAATTTACTGCTTTTAACCTCTCATGTTTCAGTATTTTCACTGGCTCTCAGCTTGTCCAGCTCAACTCGTGTGTCTCTTCTGCCACTCCCTAACTTACCCTTTCCCTTAGGGTTCTCTGGGTCTCTCTCTCTCTCCTTTTCCCCATCACTTGCTCCCTCCCTCTCTCCTTCGTGTGTGTGTGTGTGTGTGTGTGTGTGTGTGTGTGTGTGTGTGTGTGTGTGTGTAGTTGTCTAGACTGGTCTTCAAGTCACTATGTAACTAAGGATGACCTTGGATTTCTGTCTGTCGTATCTCCCAACCCCTGGGATCTCATGCGTGTACAGCCATGCCCAGGTTCTACTAAGGACTTCATGCATACTGGGCGAGCAGCACCCAGTCAATTAAACTACATCCTCACACCTCTTTTTGCTGAGATAAAGTCTCAGTTCAATTTCATTTTGGTATTGATCTTTCAGTCCTCCCACTCCAGACTCTCCAGTAGCTGAATGACAAGTGTGTCATAATAAGCATCCAAGTCACGTGCCCTTATTTCTTTCTTTTTTCTTTTTGAGTCAGGGTCTTACTCTGTAGCCTTGGTTGTCCTGGAACTCACTCTGTAGCCTAGGCTGGCCTCAAACTCACTATGTATCAAGAGCTAGAGTTTTCTTGAGTAATTATTAGTGTTTTTGTTTCGTTTTGTCTTGTGTGTGTGTCTGTGCGTGTTTAGTGTTTTGGAGACACTGTGTCTCTGTTTAACCCTGGCTGTCTTGGGACTCAAAATGCAGACCATGCTGTTTGTTGTTCTGAAGCTCACAGAGATCTGCCTATGTCTCTCCTGAGTGAGTGCTGGGATTTGGCTCTGGCCTTTTAAAACATGGGCTGTGGCGATGTAACTGGCCCTCATGTTTGCATGGCAAGGACTTTGCCAACAGAGGTATCTGCCCACGCTGTAGTCAGGCTACAGTCACTAAATGTGACCAGACACCCCATGATTAAAACCTTTGTGTTATTCCTCATTGTGCAGCTTACAAAAGTCTGTACCTCGTAGCCTAGCAACAGGGGCCACCAGGATAGAACTCTGCCTGTTTAACCCAGCACTATCTTCTGACACCCTTCCTCTGCCTCCGGGCCCTACAGGAATGTCATATAGCAATAACAATAATTCTATAGTTGAAGAGCAGATTCAATAACCTATCCTTTTCTCCTATTATTCCTATATGATATTAATTTCATGCTACACAGCCCTTCATATGTAAGTAGTCAGGCTTTGTGCTTTGAACTCCCCAGTGCACCGTGCTATTGCCTGGATAGCTACATCTGCCTAGAACATGCCTTCCCCAACCCCAATAAACATGACCCTTAACATTCCGTCTTCTACTTAGAATCTTCTCAACATCCACACACGGACAGCCCGACCGTCGGCTGCATTATTTATAGGTATTTATTTTCTAAGGGTGGAACCGTGCTTGTATTGTTCGTTAAGTTCACTTGGAGACAAGGGCTCACGCTGTAGCCCCTTCAGTAGCCTAGAGTGTCCTCAGACTCCTAGCAATCTTCCCACCTTAGCACTGACCAGTTCACAGACGTGCCTCCATCCCTCCCTTGCCTCTGCCCCCAGCTTTTTGTCCTTATTGATCTCAGGCCTGTCAGGCGGCATGTGGCTGTAGTCCCAGCCCTTGGGAGGCCAAGACAAGAAGAATCTTGAGTTTGAGACCAGCTTGGCTTACAAGAGACTCCCTATCCCAAACACAACAGCAGTAACAGCCCTGGCTCAGGGCAGCATGGAACAGCCAATTCACGAATTTTTTTCTTTCATTTTTAAAATGGTTTTTCAAGACACAGTTTCTATGTGTTATAGCCTGGCTGTTCTGGAACTCACCCTGCAGACCAGGCTGGCCTTGAACTCACAGAGATTCCCCTGCCTCTGCCTTCTGAGTGCTGGGATTAAGGGTGTGTGCTGCCACCGCCTGGCTCTTTTTTTCTTTTTTAACCTCTATATTTTTCTCTTGTTTGTTTGCTCTTTTGTTTATTTTTGAGACAAGGTCTCACAACGTATCCCAGACTGGCCTCAGACTCAGAGATCCACTTGCCCCTGCCCCCTAAATGCTGTGATTAAAGGCTTGAACCACCATATGAAGCTTTGATCTTCTGTTATTATTCTTCTTCTTTTTTCTTAATTACTATTTTATGTGTGTAAGTGTTTTCTTGAATGTGTGTCTGAGCACCACGTGTGTGTCTAGTGCCTGTGGAGGCCAGCAGGTGTTGGATCTCCTGGACCTGGAGATACAGGTAGCTATGAGCCTGTATGTGGGTGCTGGGGATTGAATCCATGTCCTCTAGAAAAGCAATCAGTGTTAACTGCTGAGCCACTTCTCCAGCCCTTCCATCTTTTTCTTAATACACTTCTCCTCCTAGTCTTTGGCTGGTCTCCTTTCCACTCTGGGAGCTGTTCCTTTCCTCTCTGAGGCAACCCATGTTTCTATCTGGCCCCTTAGCTACTACTTCATCATCTCTTTTCTTTACTTTTTTAGATTTATTTATTATTTTACACGTATGTATGGGCAGCACATGGATGCCCGGTGGCCTTGAAGGTCAGAAGAGGGCATCAGATCCCCTGGGCCTGGAGCTACAGATAGTTGCCAAGTGGGTGTTGGAAACCAAACCCAGGTCCTCTGGAAGATCAACCAGTGCTCTTAACCACTGAGCCAATACTGCGGCCCCCCCTTATCATCCCAACAGCCCATCCATCCACCCTCAGCTGAATTTCCGCCCACTTCCACCAGCCCTGCCCTGGGGTCTGCTCCCACCTTCCCATTCAAATTCATGTCCGCTGTCCAGCTGCTCAGAGTCCGAGGGTGTCTCCAACTCATCCACCTCCAGGTCCAAGCTGCCGTTAGAAGAGGAAGACGCAGAGTGGGTGGGGGAGGCTCCATTGTCTCCTGTTCCCGGAGTCAGGCTCAGCTGCAGTTCTGGGGCAGAAAGACGCTTCCGCATAGGGCGCTGGCCACACAGGGCCAGAGTGCTGGGGGTACCTGTGCTTGGAAGACAAGGAGAGTACACACATGGAAAAACTTGTGAGCTGATGGTGATTTGAGATCCCTGTATGGAATGGAGGCATATGCCTGCAATCCCCACACTACAAAAGACGGGCAAGAAATCCTAAGTTCTAGTTCTTGACCACATATCAAGTCACAGACCAGCCTGGGCTACATGAGTCTGGCCTCAAGCTCACAGAGATGCCCCTGCCTCTGCCTCCCAAGCCCTGAGATTAAAGGTGAGCATCACCACACCTTTGCTTGTTTCTTTCTGTGTGTCCAGTTATTTCTTGTGCATGTCTGTCTATGTGCCACATGTGTGCCTGCTCTTCTCACAGCCCCAAAGGGGGTGTAAGGTCTCCTGGGACTGGAGTTAAGGACGGCTGTGAGCCACCTTGTGGGTGGTGGAAATCAAACCAAGGTCCTCTGGAAGAGCAGCCAGTGCTCTTAACCAGTGTGCCATCTCTCTCCAGCCCCAACATTTAATTTTTAACTTGAAAATACCATGACTTCTGAGAAAGGGAAGTCACACAGGGCAAATGAAAAGGGAGAAAGAGGGCTACAAAGAGACAGAAGCTACAATGAGACCCTTGCTGTAAGCCAGCCCCAGAGGTGGACTAAAACCAGAGGTCTTTCCATTTTCCTTTCCCTACCTGCCTGTGCATCTCTCTGAGGGTCTTCAGGATCTCCAGACGGACCAGGATCCTCAGGAAGCAATCTGGAGGGGAGGGATTGAACAGAAGCTCAGACACCCCAGCCTGGTGCCAGCTCTCAGCTTCCCTCTCCACTGTAAATGTTTTCTCCTCTTGCCACTTTCCCCCAAAGTTTTTGTTTCGTGTCTACGGGTGTGTTTTGCCTACATGTTTATTTGTGCACCACATGGGTGCCTGGTGCCCTTGGAGCCCAGGAGGAGGTGCTAGATCCCCTGGGAGCAAAGGATGGTTGTAAGGCTCCATGTGCCTTCTGAGACTCAAACCTGGGTCCTCTGGAAGAGCCAGAGGACAGGGAGGGCAAATGGCTCTCAGCCTCACCTAGGAAACTCTTCATCTTGCCATTCTTCCTTCAGCTCCAGCTCTCCAAGTCTCAGGGCTGCTCCTGGCTCTGGGGCTCCTGCCTTCTCCTCAGCCCTGATGGTCAGCACCACAGAAGAAAAGTCGATCAATGAGATACCCTAGACAGTAGCCTGAGGGACCCAGACAGAAGATGGCAAACCCTGGCATGGAGAACATGCTGCCGGGGCACTCATCTAGAGAGAGATCACCTGCTGCTGAGTGGGGCAGAGTGGGTGGACCAGCAGGCTGGTCATTTGCCTCTGTGGTAGTGGCTTCACCTACTGTGTAGGACTGAAAGGCATCGCACAGAACAACTGGCTGGAACCCAGACAGACCTGCCTGGTTAACCCTGGGCAAGGCAGTAGCAGATGGCACCTGGTCAGCCCTGCCTGTCCTCTGTTGTGCTGGGGAAATGGGACACAGGTGGCTGGACAGAGGCAGGAAGGAGGGATTCATTCACTGAGAAGCAGAACCAGGGTCTAATTTCATTTCTGAGCCAGCTTTCCTAATGGCTATTCTAGAGGAGTTAGATAAAAAAAGACGGCTCGTCAGACATAAGACAGGAACTTTTCCTTAAACTGTGGATTTGGTTCCACACTGTATTAATTTCTGCCCCAAACGACCCTGCTCCTTCTCTGCAAATGCCTTTCCAGGCTCTTCTTTGAGGAACCGGGTAAGGCCTGGGTGGTGGGAAACGCCCTCTCCAGCTCCAATCAGGCCAAGGCCTTACTTACCCTCCTTCTAATGTCTTTTTCCCCGTTTCTTGCATAGTCCCCATCTTCACAGGTTGTCCTGTGTTCTTTGGGCCCTTAAGCAGACTAGGAGGCTGTGGTCCCAGCCCCCAACGCTCTTTCCTTTTCTGTCTCAGCTGTTGCTCCTGCCTCTGAGGAAGCAGGAGGTGTGGAAGGGAGGTAACCTCATCTTCAAACAGGTTTTGCCACCTCCCCTCCCAAGGAGCAGGTTTGCCCAAAAGCCCAGCCTCTTGTGTGGGGGCGGGCTTTCAGGTGAAGAGTAAGGGTGGCAATTTGTTCTCCATTTCGGATTCTTTATAACCGGGAAGCCCTTTGTTTTGCCCTTTTAAAGGGTTAGTGATAATTTTATGTCAGTATGTGTGAATTCCTGCAGAAGCCTGAAGCTGGCATTGGGTATGTTCCTCTATTTACGGAGGCAGGGTCTCTCAACTGAGACCAGAGCTCACTGATTTCAGCTGGCCAGTTTAACTCTATGGAGTCCCCTGACTATTCCTCCTGAGTGGCGGGATTATGGGATTACAGGCAGATGCTACACCTGTCCAGCCTTTGTGTGTCCTGGGGATCCGAACTTGGGTCCTTTTGCTTGGATAAGTGTCTTAGCCCAATGAGCCAGCTGCCAAGCCTTTATTTTTCAGATTGTCTCATATCAGAACAGCCTGATGTGGAATAGGTGGGTTATCCTTCCGCCTTGGTTCTACCGGGAGCTAGGCTTTATTTATTTTTAGAGTACCATTTTTATTTTTAGAGTGCGTGAGGATGCGCGTAGGCTTGCGTACACATGCGTGTGCGAGGCGGCCAGGAGAGGTGTACCCCTTTATCACTTTGCCGGTTTTTTTGAGACACGGTTTCTCCCTAAACGTGGATCCTGGCTCTTGCATTGGCTAGGCTGGAATCCAACAAGCATCAGCAATTTTCCTGTCTCTACTCTGCCTGGAGCTGGGCGGGGAGAGGTACAGGCCTTTGTAGGGTTGCCACCTTGTTACATGGGTGCTGGGATCTGAACTCATCTCCAGGACTGAGGAGAGAGCACTTTTAACTGAGTCATCTCTCTAGCCCTGGGAGCTTAACGTTTCTTTAAAAATGTGTATGTGCATGAGGGGACTGCCTGAACATCTGCCTGTGCACCAGGGGCACGGCTGATGCCCCTAGAGGGCAGAAGAGAGTGTTAGAGTGTTAGAGCTCCTGGGACTGGAGCTACAGATACTTGAGAGCCCTGTGGTTCTGAGAATTGAACCTGGGTCCTCTGCAAGAGCAGCCAGTGCTCTTAACCCCTGAGCCATCTCTCCAGCCCTTAAAAATGATTTTTGGTTATCTTGGCACTGGGAGACTCTGCCCACATCATCTTACCGCCCCAGTAGCTACTTTTAAAAGCTGGTCCTGGTGAGGGCCTGTAACCTCGGCTTCTCAAGATGCTGAGGCAAGGTTGCAAGTTCAAAGCCAGCCTGGGCAACTTAGCCCATCATGCAGTAAAAAGTTAAAAATGGAGCCTGGCAGTGGTGGTACATGCTTTTAATCCCAGTATTGAGAATTCTCTGAGTTCGAGGCCAATCTGTCCTACAGAGTAAGTCCTGGGATGGCCAAGGACAAAGGAAGCCGGTCTCAGGGGAGAAATAAGAAAGTTAAAAATGAGCTAGAGATAAAGATGGTCAGTGGCAGGTCACCTGCCTAACATGCATGAGTCCCTGGGTACAATCCCAGAACCACACACATACAGGTAAAGCTAGAAACTATTTTGGTTTTAAGTCTGTCTTGGGTCTACTTTTCCAGCATAAGGAAAACAGAGGAGACAAGCCAGGGAAGCTCATGTATGCAATTCTATCATGGGAGAGGCTTGTGCAGGAGGACTGCCGTGCATGAGAGGTTAGCCTCAGCTACATATAAGCTAGGGCAGCTTGGGAGACTGTCTCAAAAAAAAAAGAAGAAAGAGAAAGAAAAGGAAGAAGGAAGGAAAGAGAAAGAAAGAAAAAGAAAGGAAGGAAATAAGGAAGGAAGAAGGAAGGAAGGAAAGAAAGAGAGGAAAAAAAACCTAACTCAGTCAGAGTGGGAATGGGAATTAAGGAAAGGCTGAAGTGACTGAAGCCAGCTCATAGCCAAGTTAACAAGGTCCAAGGAGGAGGGCCAGAGATGAGCCTGTGGGAGGGGCAGGATTAGCAGAGGGAAGGCCCGATTATACTGATAAAAAGAGGCAAGACCTCAAATCAGAAGAAAGTATTTAATATGAAACAAAATGCAAAACAAAGTACCAAAGTCACAGAACACAGTCCCTTTGGGCTCAGTGACTGCACCAATAGTTCACATTCCCAATGGCTACAGATGGACCCTAAAGTGGTCAGACTGCCCCAAACCACCACACACCCTACCCTACTGTTTGGCCATACTGCTTGCAACTTATATGGGGTAAGATCGGGGAAACGGCTTGGTGAAAAGGGGGGGAGACAGGGAAAGTCTACACATGCAGACTACACTGGGAGAGAGCTTGCCGCTGGGTCACGATTACACCCTGTACATGCTGCATAAGGCTAAGTCCCTTGGTACAATCACACATAAACACAAAACAATCAAGTGACCCCAAGCACTCCCGGGAAAGACAAAAAGAAAAATACAACAAAGCAGAGGAGAGAGAGGATGGCAGGAAGAGGCAGGTCACAGAATACCATGGAACATCTACTCCTAACCCTCATTTACAGATGTGGAGGTGTCTCACCAGAAGACACCCTATGCTTTCTTGAACTCACCAGACCCACTACAGCACAGGCTCAGCCAATTTCTACCCTTTTGGCAAAAATGAGATCTTACAGCCATCCTGGGTGCCAGGAGATCTCAAGAACCCTAGATCCTTAGGATCTCTTCTGGCTTCCTGTGACTCTGGGACAGAAGGAGCCAAAGAAATAGAAAGTTGGGACATCTGTTCAAGACAAGAGACTAGCCAAGTATGATAGTACATGACTACAATTTCAGCACTCAGGAGGATTAGGAGTTTAAGACTAGCCTCAGATACACACAGAGTTCAAGGCCAGCCTAGGGCTACATCAGTCTCTGTCTCAAAAAGAAAGTAAAAAGGTGAAGTAGTGCATGGAGACAGGCAGTAAAATTGGTTTCATGACAGATCCTGGCAGTCCACCATCCTCTGAGGACACACAGATGGAGTCTACATTCCTTTAGTCCTGCTTGGCTAGGACAGGGACAGCATCACACTGTACCTTCCCAAACAGAATAGAAAAAAATCAGTGCAGATTAAATAATAAAATTAAATAAAACTTGTCTGGCAGAGACGGGAGAGAGGAGGCAGAAAGCCATTCTTACAGCAGCTGCTTTTGGTTCCCTCCCAGTTTTATGAGAACAGCACACCAGACCCTGGAGCAAGAGACACGGTTGCTGAAATAGTCAAACATCTCAAAACATGCATTTGAGGCAGGCCAACTGCCTCCTCCTCACCTCCCCACCCTCTTCCAGCGGTCACTTATTTGACGGGGAGACTCTGGCACACTGAGACAGTGAGATCTGACTGCACTTCTCAAAGATGGCCTCAGCAGAGAGCTTTGGCAGCTCATTCAGAGGGCACTCGTCCACCAAGCTGTTCATGGGCGTGGGTGGCAGCGGAGGGTCTTCTTCATCTTGACTCAGTCCAGATATCACAGAGTTGCCTGCCCCATCCAGTTCCTTGTCTGCCTGCTCCCTGGACATGCCTGCCACCTCAGGCTGCCCTCCAGGCATCTTCATCGAGTCAAAATATGCTGACAGGGCTTCTTGGAGCACAGGCAGAAGTTTCTTTCGAGAGACCTGGGTGTTGCCTTGAAGATAGGATTGGAGGTTGGGAGAGATGCTTGGCATGGGGGTCAGCTTCAGGGGTGGGGAGGCGCACTGTTCCAGGGCTCCACAGACCTACAGAAGACAGGACAGGAGATGATGTGCAATGCGGCACAGCAGAGAGCTGAGGCTTATAACAGGGGCAAAAGTGTTTTGCTTGCTTGCTTATTAGGTGAGACAGGGTCTCACTAAGTACCTGGTTGGCCTAGAACCCACAGAGTTTCATCCCCTCTGCCTTCTGAGTGCTGAGGTTACCCTGTGCCACCATGGCCAGTTTTTGAGGTGTTTGGGATCAAACTGAGGGCTTCAAACATTCAGAGAACACGCTGCAGATGATTTACATCTCTATACCATTTCCCCACCTCCTTTTTTTGACACTTACTTGGGAGCTCAGGCTGGCCTTTAGTGCACTGGAATTCCCCTGCCTCAGCTTCCCATGTGCTGATATTACAAGTATAAGACACCCTGCATGGCTGGAACATTTATTTGGATGACATTTTGTTTCATTAACAAAGAAATCAAAGTGCATGGAGGTTTTCTTGAATGAAATCACATGGATGATGGAAGAATCTCAAACAGGACCCAGGACCGCTGTCACTTGAGATAATGTGGGTTCCATGTGTATACTGGTGCTCAAGGTCTTGAACTTTTTCTTTAGGTAGGACAGGACTAGCACTCAAGTAGAGATCGGAGGACTAAGACCGAACAAACCAAGGATGGGGGATAGGCCAAGCAGGCTGCCAATCTGGATGTTTACAAATAGCTCTTTCTATTGGTACAGCTACTAAACTCACATATGGTTAGGGTAACTGAGGCTTGCATAGATTAGCTCCGTTTTCCTTCCTTTCTTTTTAAAATGTTTGTTTGTTTATGATTTTTTTGAGACTGGGTTTCTCTGTGTAAGCCCTGGCTGTCCTTGACTCACCTTGTAGACCAGGCTGGCCTCAAACTCACAAAGATCCACCTGCCTCTGCCTCCCAGAGTGCTCGGATAACAGTTGTCCACTACCGTTCTTGACTTAATGATTTATTTTTATTTTACGTGTATCGGTGTTTTGCCTGCATCTGTGTGAGGATGTCAGATCCCCTGGAACTGGAATTACAGACAGTTGTGAGCTGCCATTTGGGGACTGGGAATTGAACCCAGGTCCTGCGGAAGCGCAGCCAGTGCTCTTAACCTCTCTTAACATGTTTTTTCTTTTTTTGAGGGTTTCTCTAGGTAACCCTGGCTGTCCTGAAACTCACTCTGTAGGCCAGGCTTTCCTCAAACTCAAGAGATCCACCAGCCTCTGCCTCCGGAGTGCTGGAATTTAAGGTGTGCACCAGCGTGACCAGTAGATTAGGTCACAGTTTGTACAAGATGAAACTGACATTTGAACCCAGGACTGTCACTAGAGTAGTGTTCTAAAAGTTAGTAGTAGTATACTACTACTAACAGGAGGAAAGAAAGGGCAGAGCTGACTGCAAAAGGGTCCTATCTCCCAGCACAGAGAGCGTGGGCTAGGCAGTTAGTCATCAGATAGGGCGGCCGAGGCGGGACTAAGTTCCGGAGGGGGAAGGGTCCTTTCTGACAGCCTAGGCACCTTCTCGTTAACATGGTCGGTAAGAGCTCCATGTTCCGAACACCAAATCTGCCTCAAAGTGCACTTCACACTAATGATCACGGCAGACTGTGCAGTAGCGACTCTCACCATGACTCAGGTCCTCTGGCTTAGCTCAAAAGGCAGGCAGGGGCCACACAGAAAAACATGTCCATATAAAACCCACTTCTCTCCATAGCGCCAGCTACCCCTCACCAGAGAGGGAGATAAAGAGGAAGCAGCAGCTAAGGGCAGACATACCTTTCCTGAGTGCAAAGGACTTCTGGCTGGGCTGTCCTGAGCACGCTCACAGTACAAGCAACCCAGAGTCTTGAGTCATTTTGAATCAGTAACCAACAGAGAAAACAAAAGGAAGGCCAGGAAAGAGGCTGGGTCAGTGCTGAGCCCTTCTCTGGCGTGCAGTATCCAGATGGACCCCGTGTGCTGCACAGTTGAAAAGATTCCTACCGTGTGTTTAGGGGCTGGTGTCTCCAACCCTGAGCTACACCCCGTCTTCTCTCCTGTCCATAAATTGTCAAGACTACAGAGATTTATTTTAGGGTCCGACTATATAGACCTGGCTGGCCTCAAACTGGTGGGCTATCCTCTTGCCTCTGCTACCTACTGTTAGAATTAGAAGTGTGTGCGGCCATGCCTGGCAATAGCTCTTAGGGTTCTCTGATAGATTCACCACTATTAAGTAGAGCAGGCCATAGTTCCTACATCCTGGGAACAGGAGCCTCAGTCAGTATGACCCATGAGAGCAAGCTTTAGCTACAGGTGGGTATTTCCTTCTCACCAGAGTTTGCCTCAAGCTCCTTGTCAGCGTAAATTGTTGTCTCTAATCTTCAGAAACACTTTTCTCAGTAACTGTATGACTAAGACTATTCCCTTGTAGAAAGCATGAACAAAAAGCAGGTGGCCTGGGTGCAGCCTGGGCTACTGTGTAAGATCCTGTTTCAGAACAAAAATAGGGCCAACAGATAAGGGGACTTGCTGCCCAGGCTGACTGCCTGTGTTTGAGCCCCAGGACCTACAACTGTAGAAGAAGTGAACTGATTCCTGCAAGCTGGCCTCTGAGCTCCATGAATGCACGCACGCGCACAAGATCCCAGCATCTGTACTGCATGGCTAACGAACACTTGTCACTCTAGCTCCAAGGAACTGAACACCCTCTTCTGGCCTACACACACACACACACACACACACACACACACACACGTGCACATTCTCACATGGATACATAAACACACAAAAGCAAATAAAAATTTAAACCACATACAACTCAAGGCAAGGCCCTACAGCAGAGATACACAAAGGCACACTCAGGCCATTGACCCTCGGGTTGACACGATGGAGACTCACTGTCATTCGAAGTGCTACGTGTGGACAGAAAACAGCCAATTGCCGTACTGGCTCATTGTCAGTATTGAAAAAGATAGTCATGGCCACCAGGGCATCGTAGCTGTGATCATGGCAGAAAGTACTGAGATCTGTGAGGAGGTTTGACCGCTGCAGAAAGGCCTGGATGGGAAGAAAAAAGAGAGTGATGAGAACTTATGAGAACTTTCTTAGTCACCAACAAACCTTCATGGAGTGCATGCAACTCACAAATTGTGTAACACCGAAATGGTATACAGTGTTTCCTCTGGAGATTGTGACAGAATGGGGAGAATATAGACTTTCAATTAGGACAGAACTGTTTTGAAAATCAGCTCTATTACTACATTGCTTCTAAGGAATCAGATAAAGAAGTGGTATTAACCCCCCTGGGCCTAAGTTTCCTCAATAAAACAAGACAGCATTTACTAGAAAACTCTTTTCTTTTTTTTCTTTAAGATTTTTTATTTATTATATATACAGTGTTCTGCCTGCACACCAGAAGGGGGACCAGATCTCACTGCAGATGGTTGTGAGCCACCATGTGGTTGCTGGGAACTGAACTCAGGACATTTAGGAAGAACGGTCAGTGCTCTTAATCTTTGAGCCATCTCTCCAGCCCTAGAAAACTCTTTTCAAACTTAAACATGGAGATAACAAAGAATAAAAATGTGAGCGGTTGCCTGGCAGTGGTGGCCCACACCTGTAATCCCAGCACTTGAGGCAGAGGCAGGCGGATCTCTATGAGCTGGAGGCCAGCCTGGTCTACAGAGTGAATTCTTGTACAGCCAGGGCTACACAGAGAAACCCTGTCTCAAAAAACAAAAACAGAAACACCATCAGTGGCGGTTGCTTATGTGCTGATTAGATTTTCTGCCAACCTGTCACAGGCTGGGTCATCTGGAAAGAAAAAACCTCAACAGAGAAAATGCCTACTGGCAACCCCGTGGGACATTTTCTTCATTAATGATTGATGTGGAGCGGCCCACTTACCTTCTGGGTCATAAAAAGAAATAAACAGAGCAAGCCATGAAGACTAAGCTAGGAAGCATCGTGCCTCCATGATCTCGGCTTCAGTTCCTGCTCCCGGGTTCCTGGCTGTTTCCCACAATGGTAATCCACCCTTTGCTCATTGCTTGCCAATCTATATTAGCCAAATATTTTCCATGCAGCATTTTCTCTAATATATAATACCATCATTTCCTTTTTTTTTAAGATTTATTTTTTGTGTTCATTGGTGTTTTGCCTGCATGTATGTCTGTATGAGGGTGCCAGATCCTCTAGAACTGGAGTTAAAACAGTTGTGAGCTGGCATGTAGGTGCTGGGAATTGAACCCAGGTCGTCTAGGAGAGCAGCCAGTACTCTTAACCACTGAAGCATCTCTCCAGCCCCACCCTTTATTTCAAATCAGGGCCTTTCTCTATCCTGGCCTTTCTTCTTTAATTAATTAGTGTGGCATATGTACATGTACGTGCAGGTGGACATGAAGGCATGAGTCTGTGCAGAAGTCTTATTCCCGGGAGATGGGGGTCTCTTGCTGGAGCTGGAGCAAGGCTGGCAGCCAGCCAGCCTCAGGTATCCTCCTGCCTCCTCCATACCACACTAGAGTTGCAAGTTGCAGGCTGTGCCCATGCCCAGCTTCTGTGTGTTCTGGAGATTTGAACTGGGGTCTTCCTGATGGAGTCCTCTATATCTGGCTGTTCTACAGTATTAATTTGTACAGTGGTTGGATGTGTGGTCTTGAATGTTGTCGTTTGCTTTCCAAATTAGGTGATCTACCATGGCTTCTTAAGCTATGGATAACTGTGGGTGAGATCCCACACGGGGTCTCGTAACTGAGAGTAACGGAATGAGAGGCAAGAAAAGTTTACCAGGTTTCAGTGGTAAAGCTTTGTCCCGTATGTCCCTGGCGCTGAAAACAAACCCATGGGGCCACTGTATAATATGAACTGAACCACTTGTTTGTTCAGGGTTAGTTTATTGTATGTGTTTAGCCTGTGGACGTACCTGCACTATGTGTGTGCTTGGTGGTGTCCACAGAGGCCAGAAGATGCCATGGAACCAGAACTATAGATGGTTGTGAGCCACCACATGCATGCTGGGAACCAAACTCAGCTTCTCTGCAAGAGCAACAAGTCCTCTTAGCCACCGAGCCATCTATCTCTCCAGCCCTTGGTTGCCGTTCTTATTCTTTTCTAAGGTTCATTTGATTTTCAAGTGCCCATGTGTACCTACACATGTGAATGCTGACACCTTTGGAGACCAAAAGCATCAGGGTTGGAATAAGGAAAGGCCAGAGTAAAGGCCAGAGGTAAGATAAAGGAACGAGAAAGACTTTAGATTGTATAAGGACAACAAAAAAGCGCAAAGCAAGGGTGACAGGTTGTGCTCCATTTGTTATTTTATCTATTTAATTATCTGAGATATGGTCTCACTATGTAACCCTGGCTAGCCTTGAACTCCTAGAGATCAACCTGGCTGTGCCTCCCAAGTATTGGGAATAGAGGCATTTGCCACCATACCTCTTAGGGTTACTATCGCTGTTGCAAAAAGCCACAATCAAAAGCAACTTGAAGATGAAAGGGTTTACTTGGCTTACATTTCTGTATCGTAGTCCATCATTGAAAGAAGTCAGGACAGGAACTTAAACAGGGCAGGAACCTGGAGGCCAGGGCTGATACAAAAGCCATGGAGGGATGCTGCTCACTGGCCTGCTTCACATGGACTGTTCAGCCTGCCTTCTTACAGAACGCAGGATCACCAGCCCAGGGATAGCCTCACCCACAACAGACTGGGCTCTCACACTGATCACTAATTAAGAAAATACCCTATGGGCTTGCCTATGGCCTAATTAAAAAAAAAAAAAAAAAAAAAAAAGGATTTATTGGGGCTGGAGGGATGGCTCAGCATTTAAGAGCACTATCTAGTCTTCCAGAGGTCCAGAGTTCAATTCCCAGCAACCACATGGTGGCTCACAACCATCTATACTGGGATCAGATGCCCTCTTCTGGGATGCAGGTGTACATGCAGATAAAGCGTCCATCTACCTAAGATAGATAGATAGATAGATAGATAGATAGATAGATAGATAGATAGATAGATAAATCTTAAAAGATTTATTCCTTTATTTTTAAAAAATTATTTATTTATTATGTATACAATATCTGCATGTATGCTTTCACACCAGAAGAGGGTGCCAGATCTCACTATAGATGCTTGTGAGCCACCATGTGGTTGCTGGAAATTGAACTCAGGACCTCTGGAAGAGCAGACAGTGTTCTCAACCTCTGAGCCATCTTTCCAGCCCAGCCATATATATATATATGGTTTTGTTTGTTTGTTTATTTTTGACACAGGGTTTCTGTATGCAGCCTTGGCTATCCTGGACTCTCTTTGTAGACCAGGATGGCACAGAGATAGGCCTGCCTCTGCCTCTTGGAGGCAGAATTATCCTTGAGGCAGATTAATTACTATTGGGATTAAAGGTATTGCATGTGCCACCACACTTGGCCCCTACAGCCAAATCTTGGGAGTTATTTTTTAGATTGGGGTTTCCATCTCTCAAATGACTCTAGTTTGTATCAAACTGGTATAAAACAATCCAGAACATCTAGCCTGAGATATATACATTCATTCTAAAACTTTTTGGCAAAAAAAAAAAAAAAAAAAAAAAAAAAAAAAAA